CGGGCAGGTGGAGCGCAGCGGAGACTTTTTGTATTTCTCTTAGCATTAGGGGGACGGAGAACTGCTGCGCTCGCGGCAGCACTTCTTTTGCTGCTGCTTGGGTGTTGCTAGAAGCACCAGGCAGACCCTCTGCTGCACCCACTGCTGCTGCTGCTTCTGCTTGTACAGATCGGGAAGCCCCAAAACGGGCAGCATCGAAGATAGCTACTAGAGAGGCGCACTGAACCCGTAGCAGTGGAGGATCCAGGCGAAGATGCCCTCGTTGCAGTTTTGCTGCTGATGCTGCTGCTCTTGCTGCTGCTGCTGCTGCAGTTGTCTCTGACTCCATCTCTATCTTTGTGTCTGATTCTGGTTTCGTCTGTACGTGCGGATTTGGAGGGTTATGCTGCTGGCGGTTGCAGCGGTATGCATGCACAGGCAGCAGCCACTGCAGCAGCAACGGGGTTGAGTCTAGGGCTTCCACGCCTTCTATGCCCTCCCACTCCTTTGCCGCTGCTACTGGTCCTGCTGCTTTTGCTGTTGCTGTTGCTGCTGTCGCCTCTGGGATTGGATCGTCGGCGATCCCTGTCTGTCTGTCCCCTTCATCATCTGAGTCGAGAGAGAGCAGTAAACTGCCCCCTGTCGCTGCATGACCCGTAGCCAGTTCCTCTCTCCCAGCAGTTCCTGCTGGTGCTGTTGCTGCTGCTGCTGTGTCACCCCCTGTGTGTTCCTTCTGCTGGGGTCCACTTTGAGGTCCCCTGCTGCTCTTGCTGCTGCTTCTGCTGCTGCTTCTGCTGCTGCTGCTGGTTTGTTTGTTGAGGAGACACCTGAAGGTGGCAGCATATCCTCTATAGTCGGAGAATCGCAGACAACCAAATGCATGCGCTGCTTCTCCTCGACGCAGATGCTGCGATAGAGGCCGCAGGAGCAGCAGTTCGGGGCAGACAGAAAAAAATATTTCTTCTTGCAGCGCCCCTAAACACATAAACAAACAAATTGAGGTGTACAGACACCTCAGGCAGAAGCAATGACAGCAGCACCAGCAGCAGCAACAACAGCGGACAGGAACCACACCAGCAGCAAGCACAGCAGCAGCAGCCAGCAGCCACAGCAGCATAAGCGTAAACAGAAAAGAAAGCAGCAGCAGCAGCACCAGCAAAATGCAGGAGCCCCACAAGCATCAAAGAAAACAGCCGCAGCAGCAGCAACAGCAAATGCAAAGCAGCAGCCACAGTAGCAGCAGCAATAACAAAGAAGACAGAAGGTGCAGCAGCAAAGAAAGCAGCAGCAGCAGCAACTGCAGCAGGAGCAACAGTAATAGCAGCAGCAGCAGCGGCAAAGAAACCACAACCAGCAGCAGCAGAAGCAACAGCAGCAACAGAAAAGAAAGCAGCAGCAAAGAAAGCAGCAAAACCAGCGACAAGGAAAGCAACAACAACAGCAGCAGCAAGTTACCATGGTATAGAATGCCTCCTCCAATGATTTTGTTTGCGAAGTCCGCGCGGACATCCACGTCACCGCTGGCGGGGATGCCCCCTCCATTTGTTGCTTCTGCAACAATCTGAGGAGCCAGCAGCCGCTGCTGCTGCTGCAGTGCTACTGTCTCCGCGCTGCAGCAGCAGGACTCGGCCTGAGCCCGAGAGAAGCGGAGACACCGCAGCATGAAACAGCAGGGAAAACGAACTGCCCATACACCCCAAAGAGGGACTGAACACAACACAGAAGGGCCCCATACGAAGCCCTCTCGTACTTCTATCCCACTGCTGCTGCTGCTGGTGCCTGCATGTTGCTGCTTCTGCTGCACACATTTGTCTGCTGCATGAGGTGTTAGTAGCACTGCTGGATCTTCTGCAACACTACCTAACTCAGCAAGAGTGGCAGCAGCAGCAGTTGCAGCAGTACGAGCAGCAGTAACAGCAGCAACAGTATCTTTAGGCACAAATGCCTGTATTTCTTCTTCTAGCAGCAGAGACAACTTTGCGGCTGTCCCTTCCTCTCTGCCGTCTCTGCAACACAGGCGAGCAGCATGAGGAGGAGAAAAAGAAAAAGGGGGGATATTGTTTATATTACATTTTTGATGGAAGGCATCTGCTGCTGCTGCCATGCAGCAGCAATACCTGCAACAAAATGAGCACACACAGCAGCAGTTAATATCCTGCTGCAACAAATCACGCTCAGACTCCTGCTGCTTCTGCTGCTAGTCCTGCTCTTGCTGCTCCTATTGCTGTTGCAGCAGTGCGCAGCAGCTGCTGCATTGCCGCTGCACAAAAACCGTGATCC